TTTGTCTCCAGAGTCAGGGTCCTGCCTCCACATCCCGGAATTTACCCAAGAAGCCCCTCAGGTGCCCTTCAGAATCGTGAAGAAGAGTGAAGAGCGGTGCATACCTGGTGTGTTCCAGAACACAGAGGTGGGGGCCTGGCGTCTCCTGAGGTGTTGGCTTCTCTTCCGTGTCTGGCAGAGACTGAGTCATCACGTGGGGGCTCAGATCTCCACTCTGATCTCTGTGAGGCTCCTCGTTGGCTGTGCTCCCACATCCAGTACTCTCCAGATAAGTGGCTGTGATGTGCTGATACTTCTCAAAGTTCACTGCTCAGAATTTGGAGCCTTCTAGCCTGTTCCTTTACTTGCCACCCCTCAGATTCCACGTTCTTCCAGTCTGCTGACTAAAAACTCTATTCATTGCCCCATCATCAATAAGTTAAAATGAGTCCTTCATCGGCAGCCTCAGCCTCAAGTCCATGCCTCATCTGGAGCATCTCCTCAGACACACCTTTGAAGGAGCATTGCCAGTAGTTGTCAGGCTGGTACCACGTCTCCTTTCTCTTGTTCAGAAGGAACTGACAGAAATAAATGTGGGCAGATGGGATTTTAGAAACTTGGTGAAACAGGTTTTGTGCTGAGAACTTTAGGAACATCATCTCCTCAAATCCCTCCAGGAAGACACTGAAGGGCAGTTGACCCTTCAACAGGTTTGAACCGTGGGGGTCCAGTTGTACACAGATTTTATTTTTATTTTTTTAATTATTTTTAAAAATATAATTTATTGTCAGATTGGCTTGCGTACGACACCCAGTGCTCATCCCAACAAGTGCCCCCCTCAATGCCCATCTCCCGTTTTCCTCTCTCCTCCACCCCGCCTCCCGCCATCGACCCTCAGTTTGGTGTCTGTGTTTAAGAGTCTCTGATGGTTTGCCTCTCTCCCTCTCTGTTTGTAACTATTTTTTTCTCCTTCTCTTCCCCCACAGTCTTCCGTTAAGTTCCTCAAGATCCACATATGAGTGAAAACATATGATATCTGTCCTTCTCTGACTTATTTCACTTGGCATAATACCTTCCAGTTCCATCCACGTTGTTGCAAATGGCATGATTTCATTCTTTCTCATTGCCAAGTAGTATTCCATCATATATATAAACCACATCTTCTTTATCCATTTGTCAGTTGATGGACATTTAGGTTCTTTCCGCAATTTGGCTATTGTTGAACATTGGGGTACATGTGGCCCTATGCATCAGCCCTCCTGTATCCCTTGGATAAATTCCTAGTAGTGCTATTGCTGGGTCATAGGGTAGATCTATTTTTAATTTTTTGAGGAACCTCCACACTGTTTTCCAGAGCGGCTGCACCAGTTTGCATTCCCACCAACAGTGCACGGGGGTTCCCGTTTCTCCACATCCTTGCCAGCACACAGATTTGTTTTTTTACAAATACAGTACAGTACTAAAAATTCATTTTCTGTTCTTTATGACTTTCTGAACATTTTCTTCTCTTGAGCTGACTTTACTGTAAGAATACCAGATATAATACAAATAAGATACAAAATATGTGGTAACTGTTTATGTTATCAGTAGGGCTTCTGGTCAACTGTAGGCTATTAGTAGTTAAATTTGGGGGGAATCAAAAGTTATACTTGGATTTTTTACTGTGTGGGGGGTCAATGCCCCTAACTTCTGTGTGGTCCAAGGGTCAACTATATTATTTTCCTTATTCTTGAGAGTGCTGGCGAGAGAAAAGTGGTTTCCCTTTTCAGAGCACAGAGTTACTAATGATTGGTCTTTGGGCTCAACTCAATCAGTTTCTATGATCTTTTTTTATTTTTTAAAACTAACCATGAGTTACATCTTCTCTTCCTTCCTTCCTTCCTTCCTTCCTTCCTTCCTTCTTTCTCTCCTTCCTTCCTTCTTTCTCTCCTTCCTTCCTTCTTTCTCTCCTTCCTTCCACCCATCATTCTCTCCTCCTCCTTCTTTTCTCCACCCCCTCTCATTTTTTGCATGCATAGGAATTTTGAGTTTAAAACTGGACATCATAGTTTTCTGTATTCTGTATTCTGTGCTGTTCTCAAGACTGCTGGCTTCTGGTGGTAGATAGCAACACAATGATAAGGATTCAAATGTTGGACACCGTCTTTTCTGTAATATGCAGAAGCTTATATTTATTCTCTCCATTTCCCCTTGGCTACCGTAAGGGTCTTTTCTCCATACTCCAGTGGTCAACCAACCACTTGGAAAGGGAGTATAAATTCAGCTAAAGCTGCATGAAGCTTGAAAAATTCACCCAATAGAAGAATCCTCAATATAACAATCCTTACCAGAAGCAGTTCTGCCTTTCAATGATAGGCACCCTTTCAATATTGCCTTAGATCTTCTGATAACATGTCTATTTTTGAAGGAATACTCATCAGATATAGTCCCCTCAGCACTTCATAAATTCCCATTTTTTTTCCTTGCCTAGTGTGTATTTTCTAACGTGAAATTTGTTACCATCCATCTCTTTGTTTGTTTGTACACATTTCCCCCCCTCCAGCAACTCTAGAGATGCTCTGATTTTTGGCTCTCAAAAAATTAATTAGCATATGCCTTAACAGGGTCATCTTTTCATTTATCTTCCTTAGGATATCTTGCATTGAGTCATTGGGCCCCCGATTTCCACCAAATTTACAAAGTTTTCTGCCATAGTTTTTTTCAGTTCTTTGCCCTCATTCTGTCTTCTTCTTTTTTAAAAAATATTTTTTAATGTTTATTTGTTTATTTATTTAATATGAAATTTATTGTCAGATTGGTTTCCATACAACACCCAGTGCTCATCCCAACAGGTGCCCTCTTCA